GCCCCGCTAGGTCTTCTCAGACCCTTGCCCATTCCGGATCAGCCGGGAGACTCAGTGTCAATAGATTTCATGGRCACTCAAGTCRAGAGCAGGCATGGCAAGAGCCAAGTYATGGTCWTAGTTGACCGCTTTAGCAAGTACGCAGTTTTTGTTCCTTTGCCTTCAGAGGCGCGTACTGATTTAGTCATACAGAGGTTCTTTGACTGTTGGGTTAGTGAGAACGGAATCCCGCTGTCAATAGTTAGTGATAGAGATAGTCGTTTCACCAGCCAGAACTGGCGAGAACTCATGGGAGTGTATGGATCTAAGTTTGTTGATGTCATCCGATCGTCATCCAGAGACTAACAGTCAGACGGAGCAAATGAACAAGATCCTACAGCAAGTTCTGCGCATGTACATTAGGCCAGATCAGATTAACTGGGATAAGATGTTGCCCAAAGTAGCTAGTGCGTACAATAACAGCGTGCATTTGTCTACCTGCCGCACTCCCAACGAACTGCACAAGTCCTTTCGACCGCGCAGACCGTTTGAGGGACTCAACCGGGATCAGATTCATAGATTGTCGCCCGGGACCAGGGAGTTTGCTGTACAGCACGAAAAAGAACTAGCTACTGTCGTAGAAAACCTCAGGAAAGCCCAGCATAGGATGATAGAGCAAGCGAACAAACATCGTCGCCCTTCACAGTTTCAAGTAGGCGACTTAGTCTGGGTTAGTTCTAAAGAGTTTGCACCTGAGGAGAACATCTCGCAGAAGTTACTGCCCACGTATAGAGGGCCGTGGCCTGTCCTGGAAGTCAAGGGCAGCGAAGATGGACCGTCCTATACAATAGAACTCCCAGCACACCTCCACACATACCCAGTTTTCCACGCATCGAAGTTGGTACCTTGTCAGACAAGTGACCAGTTTCCATCCCGTAGATCGATGATCCCACCGGATATGGATGGAAGATACGACATAGATGGTATAGTGGCTGAAGATGTTTTCAGAACTGGAGGTAGGGGTCGTCCGCAGAAACAGTAAAAGGTTCATTTCAGTTATCAAGAACCGGAAGACGACCGCTGGTTTACAAGATCTGAACTTCTAGAGACAGCTCCCGATATAGTCCGGGCCTATGAGAGACAGCAGAAGGGTAAAGGTCCTGCCTTGGACTGAAATTTTCTCGGAGGACCTCRAATTTAGGCCGGYRGGAGTGAAACGGTRTTCACCAGTTCGCAGTAGCGAATGCAGATCCCAGGGCTCGATCCCTAGTTCCCCATCTTACCTGTGTACAGTATGGATGTCAACCCGTAGGCTTGAAACCGCGACCTGTAGGACCGCCAGTGGTAGGCAGGGTTTCGTAGGTCACAGGGTAGGAGGGAATCGAACTGTAGACCTGTAGAGTAGGAGTCTAGACAGTTCCGAAGTCGTAGCTGTAGGATGCCTGAAGAGTCAAGGTTGTAGCTGCTACTTACCTGAAAGGGCAAAGTCGTAGCTGCTACAGCACCGAAAGGCCAAGTTCGAGACTTCTAAAAGTGGCCTTTCGGAGTTGGCCTGTGTTCAGCAGAGGCAAGTGGTCAAGTGGTGGTAGTCCACCTAGCCTAGTCAACAGTCCCAGTCAGTCAGTCCGGTCCTGTTCAGCAAGTACCGTCTGGGACTGTGTGCACCTCGTGGGACAAGGGATACAGGGCAGACCAACGCAGTGCAGAAGTATAAATCAAGAGGCTGCGCCCAGCCATTCATTCATTCCTGCGGATGCCATGCGGAAGCGCTGCCCCAGCARCTTGTGCGAGGAGGTCTGCAGTGCGCCCGAAGACGAAGAGGGCAGTGAAGTGTAGTGTAGCGATAGGATAGTGGCAGCCATAGCTGCCATAGCTATAGTAGCGTGTGTGGGTGTGTGTGTTGCGTGTAGAGTGTTGTGTGTGGGACATCCAGGGTGATCCAGAGTGCGAACAGTGAGTTGTGTGGGCGCTCAGTCRCCATAGCCASTTGAAGAGAACTCCTACCTGGTTACGATATCTTGAGTACTGTGTGGGCGCATGTCGCCAGTTTGCTGTTTCGCTGTTTGCATGCATGACAAGTGTGAAGAAGTCGAGTCTGATTGCAATGAGACACATAAATCGGGAAATGTCTGAAATGGTCCAATTTTAACTCGAAACAGGTAGTGGGGCCATTACCCAGCTTTTCCGCGAGCAGGAAAGCGGGTCCAGCGCCCCTCTGATCAAAATCAAACAAAAGTGTTCAGCTACCTTCTTCCCCCGGTCATTATAACTGTATTTAGACTGAAAGATACCCCAAATACAGCGATAAGTATTATATCCTTCCTTCCTGAATACTCTTAAAGCGAACAGCGGGTCTCGCGCGACGCTCCCACGTGAGACCCGCCGCACCAGTGTTGGGAAAAGTTGTGGTGGACCTTGGGTGGGCCCAAGGGAAATTCCTCTGCAGGGGTGGGCGGGGGCGAAGAGTCGAATCGGAGACTTTCCGCCAGGCGCGAAAGCGTACAGCGGGAGTATCCGCATGGCGTGAAAGCGTACAGGGCCGAAGACCGAAAGCGTACAACGGCAGTATCCGCGCGGCGCGAAATTTTGCGATCAGCGGGAGTATCCGCGCGGCGCGAAAACGTACAGGGGCCGAAGACCGAAAGCGTAGAACGGCAGTATCGATTTACGGGCACAGCATAGGAAGGCGTGGGACGAAGGCGACGGAGAGAGAGAGAGAGAGAGAGACGGGCATAGCGTAGGAAGGCGTGGGACGAAGGCAACGGGGAGAGAGAGAGAGAGAGAGAGAGGGAGAGAGAGAGAGAGAGAGAGAGAGAGAGAGAGAGAGAGAGTATGACAGAGTGTGACCAAAGTGACGTAGCGGCGGGGCATAGTGGAGCACGGCGTGTGGCAAAAGTAACTATCTCGGAAAGGTCGGTCTTCGAGAAGTGCCTTGCCTGGCGACGACTGGGCGGGGAGAGAGAGAGAGAGAGAGAGAGAGAGAGAGAGAGAGAGAGAGAGAGAGAGAGAGTTGTACCATTTTAAGTACCTTGCCTGGCGACGACTGAGCGGAGAGAGAGAGAGAGAGAGAGAGAGAGAGAGAGAGAGAGAGAGAGGTACCGTTTTACTCGTATGTGGACGTGATCGTTCGTTAGATACATAGCAAGGGAGAAGATTGACAAGGCGAAACTGGGTTGGGGAGTGAAACAAGGAAGTGTATCAAGAAGTTCGAAGCGGGGAAAGAGAAACTTGGTATCGAAGAAGGCCATCAGTAACGATGTGAAGAAGGACGGCCGGAGAGGAAAAGGGGAAAAGAAGTAGTCATTTGTCGACACGTACATCCGGCGACAATGGCAGATCAGGGTAAGTTTGCCTTCTTTTTTTCAGTTTATTGTTTCTTACCAAAAAAAAAACGATTGTCGTGCTTATATTTTCTTTTTTTGCTCTCTGCCTCGGGGAGGAAACAGTAAGGTGCTGGGGATCGGGAAAGTTGGATATTGGAAATCCGAAAATAAAGAGCGCCAAAAAAAAAAAAAAAAAAAAAAAAAAAAAAAAAAAAAAAAAAAAAAAAGGGACCATGGCGGAAGAGCAGGATGATTATGGAGCCGAAGGGGAGGAGGACGAGGGACGAGGAGAACGAGAACGAGAAGGAGGAGGAGGAGATGGAAGAAGAGCAGAGGGATGGTGGAGGAGGTGCGGGGAAAGGGGAAAGGTGATTGAGCGGGAGATGGCAGAAAAGGGAGAGTAGGGGGAGGTGGTGGAGCGGGAGAACTCGCTGAATGTGCAATTCGCCGCTGTTCTTCGTATTTTTTTTTTTTTTTCTACACACGATGGGCAGGCGCAGATATCAGCATGTGTACGCCGTTGAGGGAAGAGGACGACGATGATCCATGAAGGGAGAATGGAACAGCAAGAAGGACGGAGAATGGAGGATGAAAGGATCGGACCCATAGCAAAAAGCTCGCGTTACGATGGACGAGGATGCAATAAAGGACGACTTGCGAGGGGGACGAGCAGAGAAGTGGAGGACGGAGGAGAAGAGGCAGGACGGCGATCGTGATGGAGGGAGAAGCATAAAGAATGAAGGTGGAGGAAGGGGGAGGAGGGAAGAGGACGACGATGATGCATGAATGGAGAATGGAACAGCAAGAAGGACGAAGAATGGAGGATGAAAGGATCGGGCCCATAGCAAAAAGCTCGCGTTACGATGGACGACGACGCAATAAAGGACGACTCACGAGGGGGACGAGCAGAGAGGAGGAGGACGGAGTAGAAGAGGCAGGACGGCGATCGTGATGGACGGAGAAAAATGAAGAATGAAGGTGCAGAAAGGGGAAGGAGGAAAGAGGACGACGATGATGCATGAAAGGAGAATGGAGGAGCAAGAAGGACGGAGAATGGAGGATGGAATGAGAAACGGAGCGGGAGGCAAAGCGGGGAAACAGGGCAAGGGGAGAAGGGATCAGGCCCATAGCAAAAAGCTTGCGTTACGATGGACGAGGACGCAATAAAGGACGATTCACGAGGGGGACGGAGGAGCACGGCGGAGAACTGCCACGATGGAGGGAGCAGGGTGGAGACGGAAGAGGATGGACTGTGGAGGACGAGGAAGGAGGGCAGAGAATGGATGCAGGGGACGAGGAATGACGACGGGACAAGATCGGCCTCGAGCTGTTCTTGTAGCATGGACGGAGGAGCACGGCGGAGAACTGCCACAATGGAGGGAGGAGGGTGGAGGCGGAAGAGGGGGCAGAACGAGGATGATGAACGGAAAAGGGAGGATTGAGCAAGGAGGAGGGAGGAGGATGGACTGTGGAGGATGAGGAAAGAGGGCAGAGAATGTATGCAGAGGACGAGGAATGACGACGGGACAAAGTCGGCTACAGTTCTCTCTGTCGTTTTTCTTTTTCGAAAAAGATCACCATAGAGCATAATTTTTTTTTTCACGACAGAGTATAGAATCCCGGGTGACTTGACTGTGCATACACAAGGAAAGATCCTACCCAAAAGAAACAAAAAAAAAGAAACGAAAAAAACTAAAAAAAAAATCCCCCAAAAAATTATATTGTGGACAAAAATAAGCTGAATAACTTTTGCCTCAGGATTGCGTCGATTTTTTTTGCCTTTTTTTTTTTTTTTTTTTTTTTGGGGGGGGGGGGGGGTTTGGGGGGGCCCTGCCCTGAGAAGCGACCCCGATGCCATGGGACTAGATAGAAATTTCCAAATCCTGTTGATGTATACACTTTTTTTTGTTTTCCAAAATGTCAATGTATTATTTTCGCCTTGCTTTTTTTTTGCTGGAGTGAATAGAAATTTTCCGAATGCATTTCTTTTGCTGAAAAGAATGGCCTCCCCTGACAAACGACGCAGGGCTGGTCTGGTAGCCTTTGTTTTTCTTTTGCTGGAGTGCACAGAAATCTCCTTAATTTCGCCTTGCATTTGTTTTGTTGAAAAGAATGCCATCGTGTATGACTTTACCAATTTTGCTTTGCTTTTTTTTTCGATGAAAACGGCACTATAACACAGAAATTTATTTTAAATTCTCAAATAACATGTGTTGCTTTCATTTGTCTTTGGTGACATGTGTCTTCTCCTTCGTTGTTTCCATCTGCTCCCCCTTAGCTGAAAGTTCCCAACACACTGAACACAGAGCACACCGCATGCACAGAGAATGCCAACGTGGATATAGACAAAGACATGCGGATAATATGCAGCCCCGAATGCACAGTGCACGCCTTTACACAACAACACTTTTTGCCCAACAACTTCTACTCCTGATCGTGACTCTCGGTGACAGAACATGCTGCACATACTGCAAAGCAGAAAAATGGTACACTTGGACTTCACATGCTGTCTTCGAGGCAAAGTTCAACCACCGCTCTGGACATACTCTGACCCGGACAGTCCTGCTGATCGAATTCTTCGTCTGTGGGAGACTGACGATCGCTATGGTCGACTCCTTCGATCACGAGCACCGCAATTCAATAATGCACTTGCCCTCACATCTCAGACTGTCAAAGAAACACAAATGTCGCCCGAACATTGGCAAGGAATGCTCAGAATCGAGGGACAACTACGACACTTTTTAGGCCCTCTTATTCCGCAGGAAAACCAGCGGCCATCTTTTGCTCAAGTTTATATATACGACCCCCTCGACAAAAACAATGCAACAATTCTCTGCTTAAGTGGATTCAATCTACCGCCAGACATGCCGACGGCAGAACAAATCAAATCCCTCCTACGAAAACTGCACTATCTCCTTTGCCGATGCAACCGTTGGGTTCGAGATTTTATTACAATCTCCGAATTTCCTGACCATATGATAGGAAATCGTAGAATTGTTATCAATCCTGATGTACGTCCACCAGACGAACATCTCCGCAGATATAACAAGCCAGAGGGATTACAATAACTTTGTATCCTCATGCATGACGAGCCTCTCAGGCCTAAAATTGTGATACGTCGTCGAACTGGTGGTACTATCCCTATTCCTGACACAAATCGAGCATTTGATCCACTGCATTATGTTTTGCTCTTACCGTCTGGCGAGAATGGACGGGTTGCTGAAGAGAATCTACGTTATAATTATGAAATTCACAACATTACAGCACGTGAATTTTATGCTTTCCATCTCAACACACATCCAACAGAACGAACAACGATTTTTCGTGCATCCCGACTCTTTCAAGAATACGTTTGTATGGCCTTTGCAAAGATTGAGAATGCACACCTTCTATTTGACCGTCTCCACCAAAGAGGAATCCATGCCGAACTTTACCAGAATCTCCATGATCATCTCATGCGTTATGATAATGTAGAAAACGTTGGTCAGCATGTTATTTTACCTGCGACTTTCACCGGTGGTCCTCGTGATATGCATCGACGCTACCAGGATGCAATGGCCGCCATCCAGCAAGTCGGTGCCCCGGATCTCTTTATTACAATAACGTGTAATTCTCACTGGCCAGAAATCGAACACGCTCTTCTTCCTAATCAACAACCTGCAGATAAACCAGAGTTGCTGGCTCGTATTTTCAAAGGATATCTTCGGCAGCTCATACATGACATTCATTCTTCTCACATCTTTGGTGCAACCGCTGCATATGGCTATTCTGTTGAATTCCAAAAACGTGGCCTTCCGCATGCTCACATAATCGTTGTTCTTGAAGAAAATGCCAAAGTTTCCACACCTGAACAAATAAATAGCATTGTCTTTGCCAAGCTTCCACAAAATGCAGAATTGTGTGACCTCGTCCTAGCTCACATGATCCACAACCCGTGTGGTACACATAATCCGCAAGCTTCCTGCATGCACAATGATCGCTGCACACATTTCTTCCCAAAAGACTTTTCTGACCGAACCACCTGGAACGAAGAAACAGGATATCCCATCTACCACTGTCGTTCACCATCAGATGGAGGAATTGCTGCTCTCCACCACAATCAACAAACTGATAACTCATGGATAGTCCCTTACAACCCGTATCTTCTCCTCCGATATCGATGTAATCTCAATACTGAAATTTGTGCATCAACGACAACTTGTCGTTACATGTTTGAGTATATTCTCAAAGGACCCGATCGTGCAATGGTCGCTGAAGCCATTGACAACAATGACGAAATCCAAACATATCAAGATATGCGGACAATCGGGGTTGCTGAGGCATGTTGGCGAATCTTTGAATTTGCACTATCTGAACGCTACCCTGTTGTGACTGCGCTGCCAGTTCATACAGAAAATAGACAACGTGTATACTTTAGACAACATCAAGCTGAACAAATAGCACGCAATCCGCCACCAGAAACTGAACTGACTGGATGGTTCAAGTGGAACGCTGCACGACTCCATGATCCGGCTCTATAAAGTCATGGTTCGGAGATTCAAATTTGACCAAAAAAAAAAAACAATGGGTCGTCAGACAACGAACTGCCAATACGATTGGACGAATTCATACCATACGTCCAAATGCAGGTGACACATTCTACCTTCGCATGCTACTCAATTCTCCTCATTTACGGTGCGCAACATCGTTCAAAAATTTGCGAACAGTCAATGGTGAAATCCACCCGACATTCCAAGTTGCATGCAAAGCACTAGGTCTTCTCAACGATAACACACAATTCAATGTTGTTCTTGATGATGCCATTTTCACATCGTCATTACCAATGGTACGCGATCTTTTTGTCCATATCATTCTACACTGCAGTCCAGCAGACTCTAACGAACTATTTGAGACACACTGGGACCGTATGATTGACAACTTCCGTAGAGATCTCGCCACGGCACATGTTTCACACAACGTCATAAAAGCCATGCTGCTCCTTGACATCGAAAACCGCATCCAAAGAGAAGGAAAAGAGCTTGAGGACGTCGGTCTTATCCCACCCGCTCCCGCAGATCGAAATGAAGCAGCTCACCTTTCAGAAAGACCACGTCGAGAAGGAATTCCAAGGCTAATAGACGATGAAATATCATACGACAAAGAAGAATTGCAACGTACACTTGATATGAATCTCCCACAACTGACAACATCACAATATGCAATATTTCAACGTGTCGTTAATGCTGCAGAAAATGCCAAACCCCTTTGTTTCTTTGTTGACGCATCTGTTGGAACCGGCAAAACATTCTACTTCAATACCATACTTGTGCATATACGCATCCACGTCCAGATAGCACTCGCTGTCGCGTCTAGCGGTATTGCAACCACTCTTTTGAAGCGCGGCCGGACTTTTCATTCTCGCTTCAAGGCACCGCTGACACCTGCACAAACATCGACTCTTGATATTCCCAAACAAACTGTGCTGGCACAACTCATAAGAATGGCCACTGTCATACTCTGGGACGAAGCACCGATGATACACAAATACCATATTGAAGCACTCGACATAACTTTACAAGATATTTGTTCACCCAGCCAACCATTTGGAGGGAAAATTATCGTTCTTGCAGGTGATTTCCGACAAATTCTCCCTGTTATCAGAAAAGGGACCCGCGCACAAACAATCGACGCATGTATAAAATCCTCTGCACTGTGGCATTACTTTGACACCATGCACCTTTTCAAAAATATGTGTGTCCTCACTCAAAGCAACACCGCTGAAGCACATAATTACGCCATATGGTTACTTCGCCTCGGCAATGGCGAACTTCCTCATCCACATAATACATCGCCCGACACTGTTGAACTCCCGCCTCACCTTTGTCTTCATGGAGGAACAACGAACCTCATTGGATGGACCTTTCCCGCCCTGTCGGCGAATTCTAACAATCCTCAATGGGTCGTTGAACGACTGATCCTTGCACCCAAAAACAAAACCGTTGCCACCTTGAACTCTATCGTATTAACTCAATTTCCAGGACCTCTTATCACATCTCTCAGTGCCGATACACTCCTCCCAAATGACAACTATCCCGACGTCTCTACGGACACTCTCAACGCCTTAGATTCTCCCCTCGCTACCTCCACACATTTTCCACGTGAAAAAAGGGGCACCCGTGATTGTCTTACGGAATATCGCCATGCGGAATGGTTTGTGCAATGGCACACATTTAATTGTTGATGAAATTACCAACAATAGACTTCTGCACGTGCGCATCCTTCCTTCACTCCAACCAGTTCTCCTTCCACGCATTTTGTTAACTGTCACAGTCTCACAGATCAAAGGAGTCCTTTCCTTTGCCAAAGAAGACAATTCCCTGTCCGACCCGCGTTTGCAATAACTATCAACAAATCCCAAGGCCAATCTATCAAGCACGCGGGAATTGATCTTCAACAACCCGCCTTTGCTCACGGCCAACTCTACGCTGTTGCTTCTCGTGTCGGTGACCCGTCCCACATTCGTTTCGCACTTCCGGCTGATGCTGACCAATCGACAAACATTGTATACAAAGAGATCCTCACATGATGCTCACATGATTGTTCCACGCTTTTCGTCGTTCTGCGTGCAGGTGTTTCAACAATGTCACCGGCGGCAAAAAAAACTAGAACTATCCCCAACCAAAACGATGGCATGCCAACAACCTCACCGCAGGCAACCTCAACTTCGGCTCCTGCTCTTATATCAACAACTCCACCTACCACCGAATCTTCACCACATACATCTCCGCCTTCATCACCCACGACTTCTCTGACCGCTACAATTCGATCTACATCTCCTTCATCTTCTCTCCTAACTAATCCTTCTTCTCTTGAACACCATGGTTTAGATGACTTTACTCTCAGTCAACTTGACATTCCACTACCTGCCGCAACAAATGCAATTGCGATTATCACAACACCTTCCACTACTCACACACCTCCTCAATCACACTACCAATCCCCAAGAGTACGACAAATGGGACGGATGGCGCCACGTGCTCCGTCCTGATACTATAGACCACATCATTGACCAGATTCTTTGGGAAGATTTCCTTCTCACAGATCATGCTGCTTTCTCCCCCTCTCTCTACACCTTTTTCGCTTCCTACATCCCTCCGTGAGTACAACATTCACCCGATCCAAAACATTTCTTTACAACTTCTCCAACGTGATCATTACCGTTCCACGGCTTCTCATGCGGGCCTCGCCAAGTACCGGCATGATCGCATCATCGATGTGTACCACAAATATTCCTTCATCATTTCTGCACAACCCACACCACCCCCCCTTCTCCTACCGACTCATGAAACAGACCCTCAATGGTGGCGCCCCCTCGAACCATGGGGATGTACACATGCAACAGCACTGATCCACGACATACTCGCTTCCCGCCACACTCTCTCACTATACAATATTCCCCACTCCCCCCGAACCGGGGATTATCTAAGCACCTCATTGCCGTCCATCACCGCGAGGCACAATGTCAACTACCGCCCTTTCACATCTACAGGGCAGATATCGTCCGCAAAGCTCTTTCCTTCCTCCATCATCCAAGCTCCTCCGGCCGTCCAAGAGGAAGAACAGCGACAACTTCAGCAGCGTTCCGCAGCAAGCGACAACTCAAGCAGCATTCCACAACAGATCCGGTTGCAAGCACCAGAAGGCAGATACGAACTGTCCTCTCCATTTCTCTTTGCCAATTGTCTTTTTTTTTTTTTTTTTTTTTTTTCCCTTTGCTACAAACAATGACATTGATTTCATTCTGCACTGTTGTAAAATAATTGATTTGGATTTTCAGCTTCTACTTGGTTCATTGCTGAAGCATTCCTTAAATATTTCCTGACATCCTCCGTGTTCTCCTTCCCTTTCAAGAAGAAGCGACCTCGACCTGCTCTCATGCCTTGGGACTAGGTAGAAATTTCCAAATCCTGTTAATGTATAGACTTTTTTCGTTTTCCAAAATGTGTTATTTTCGCCTTGCTTTCTCCCGCTTCAAACTTTGCCACGGGCGAAGCCGCGGCGGGTCCCCTTGTTACTATTAATTACTGTACAATCATACAATGTACATTGTATTCAGGGGAAGAAGGTAGGCTGACAAGCTGTTAAAAAAAAAAAGGGTGCTACCACAGAAAGAGAAGCTTGGTCTTGTTGTGGTCAGTTTACTATCTGGAAAAAAACGAGAGGAAAAAAAAAAGCTTGGTCTAGCGTACCTAACAGTCATCCATCTTACTCATTTTCTTTACACACCCCGCTTCCTTCCGTTGTGGCCGAAGGCCGAAGGAACCTGAGTCAGCAGGATTAATTGGCTCCCATAAGGAAGGATTAACATCCTACCCTTCTTCACTTTGCCACAGGAAAGCAGCCCAGGGGGGAGGTCTTGGACTGCAAGCATTTGAAAAGAAGAGGGGGAAAAGAAGAGGTGAAGAGAGGACAGGGACACCAGAGGACACGGACGAGATTCCGCTTTCTTTCTCATCTTTTTTTTCTGTACTCATCCTTCAGGTTTACCAGCTTTTATCTGTTAGAACTTAGAACTTGCAATGTAGAATCAATTACGTCATTTTAGGTATCTTCTGGCCATACATCTTCATAGTGATAATCTTTAAATTGTACAGTATCTGTAATTGTTGGTATAAAAAATCCTGTCAAAAGTACTATCATGTTTTGGGTCACAGCCATACTATATAGTATATACTATATAGTATTTTACTGTATGTAGTATATAATATATATGCACTATATACTATATACTTCATGTTAGTTCATAATGAAAGGAGGGGGGCTCAAGGGGGGAGATAATCAGTTTCGCCCCTGGGCAAAGAAGACTGCTTCTTCCACAAGATGTAACTCACTATTTTGAGATATGCATATCAGTCGGCTGTGTGGATGGATGGTGAACTGGAATGATGCTCTGCACAGTAGAACGGCACTAAAGTCGTTACTTCTTGCAGAGTTTTTCCTTGGTTAAGTGATGCTGCTGCAGGTTATGCCACCTCCAATCGAAACGTGGGCATTGCCATGAGGCTATGTGTTCTTTCTTTTCTTGTTTCTTTCGTTTCCTGGAGTGTCAAGGCAATCCATACTTGCAGTGAGCAAAGGGAGGGAGGGAGGGAGGGAGGGAGGGAGGGAATCGGAATCATGATGAAATGTCACGTCTGAAATGGGAAATTGCTTTGGTGCTGCAGATGGAATCGAACAAGGGATGTGTGTGTCATGCGATATTGGAGAAGGAGAAGTGGTGGTGTATATGGTAATGTGCAGAGCCTCTCTCATTTCCTCGCATATTCCCTTCCGCTTGCCCCTCTCTTTCGTCTCCTTTGCCCTCTCGTTTGGTCATGGACCCATGGTGCTTTTTTCATATGTGCTAGCTGTAGTCTGCCAGCTTCCTTCCACCTCGACAAATATGTGTGCTTTATTTCTTGCAATGAGTACAATGCATGTGCTTGGGCACTCTGTGTGCCATGCACGGGGCTCCCACATGCCCCCCTCAGCCTTGCCTATGGGCCCTGAGGCTGCGCCGAAGGGCCATGGATCTTTTTTTCTGGGCCTGGGTTTCTTTTCTCAAAAGGGAGACGGCCTGAAGAGATCATGGCAAAACTGACCAGCCCTAGGGGTAATTCAGAAATTTTGTTCATCTAGTTCCATTTGGATTTGAAGTTTTTTTTTTAAGTTTTTGAAATTTGAACTTAGTCAGGTCTGTATTTCAACAGTTTATGGGTGTACCAAGTACTACCAACTGAGCTAGGCCCGTTGGTGGGCCTAGATTCCCTTCTTTTTTTTTTTTTTTTGGACCATTTCTCGATTTATGGGTGTCATCCTTGCGCAGGGGCCATGCTAATCTTCCATCTCTGTATCGTTCCACGGTTAACGGATGTCCTGAACGATAGGGCAGAGATTCCTTTTGTTTTCAGGCAGACGGGTCATTTTTTGTCTGCTCTGTATTTTGATGTCTGGGTTGCACTTCGTTCTTCAGATGTTTGTCAGTTCCGCATCTTGTCTGGTATGGGATGTGTGATTTTGGAGTTCTGTATACAAACAAGCACAAGTGCCTGTTTGGACTGCTGGGAGACTGGTTCACATGCCGGCGGTTGTTTTTATGAGGCCTTGGAGACTTTTGTCTGTATCAAGACTGGACGTCTTTTGTTTGTCCGCTAGCACTGTGTCCAGTCCTTGTCTGCTACTGGACCAGCTGCTCGCTATATGCATGAAGGGCCTCACCACACCACTCTCGAAATGTGAAAAAGACAAAAATATGGCGAGTGCATCTGGCCATGTTCTAGCGGGAAGTTCATTCTCATTTTGCACATTTCGAGAGTGGTGTGGCGATGCCCCAAATAAAGAAAGAAAGAACACTCTTTGGTTTCCTGCGCAAGGATCCCTCAATCCAGAGACTAGCCAGCACCGATGTAGGCTCGGCCCACCAGATGGATTTCCCGGCAGCCATCATGTTCGCCGATGATCTAACAGTTCTAATCAGAGCATCAGACTCATCCTTCAGAACACTAGCTAAAGCAATGGAGGCATTCAGGTTAGCCTCAGAAATGAAGATCAATTGGGGGAAAACAATTGGCTGGTGGCTCTCCGATGACGAACCCCTTTCTCTTCAAGGAGATGAGGCGGCTATGACATGGCAAACACCGGACACACCCACACGCTATCTAGGTATCCTGATGACGAAAGGACTGGCGCCCCAAATGGGCCCGGCTATGCTGACCAGACAGATTAACAAAATCGGAAGATGGGGTAACGCCTTTACTTCTCTTATAGGCCGAGCACTGGTTCTCAATACGTCGGTCTTCTTAATGATGTGGTATATTGCCTCTATCTGGACAGTTCCTGACAGCTCGATTAAGGAGCTGAACAGACGGGCCAGGATTTACCTTTGGACAGGAGACCCCAACAAAGACAAGTGCATATCTAAGATAGCCTGGCAATTCATCACAAGGAGACCACGCGATTGGGGCCTAGGAATCATTGACCCCGGAACAGAAACGAAAACTCTGCAAATTAAATGGATCATCAAACTGCTGATGAATCCGGACAGCGCCTGGAATAACTTGGCACTGGACAGTATCAGATCGGTAGCTCCTGTTCCCTCCCCGAACGGCATGTCAGGCCTATTTTGGGTAATGAACAAAGAATGGGTGATTTCCACAGGACGGAGGAACCGGACAAGGAACAACGGACCCGAAGACCATCGGCCGCCCACCCCCTACTGGCCGGCATTGCTTTGATCATGGAGGAAAATAATCCCTAACAAGATAAACAAACCTAAATCTAAAGACGAAGTACTAAGACAACCGCTCTTCGGAAATGAATGGCTGACAAACGAAGCCAACAACCCTCTTTTCCTAGAACAGAGATGGCTTTCGTGGATCAAGAACAGTATTTGGAAAGTAGACCACTTGTGGATGGAGGACAGAAAAGACTGGACAACAGAACAAGAAGCTTGCCCGATTGAAAGGTTGCCACAAACGAGAGACCAATCTCCAATACATACTCAATCGTATTCCTCAAGAATGGAACGATATCCTGGTAAAAGATGAGTCCTGGAGACCGGGCGAATGGGGTCTTTTGATTCAAGACACATCCCCTACTAGAGCCTATCAATTCTCTCACATGCAGCAAGGCTCACATACTAGAGCCAGCTTTCTCTCCTTCCCGSTCTCCTTCACCAAGATGGACAGGCCAGCTATTTTCAACGACAAYGTAGAATCAGCTATATTGGACTCTTTCCTCCTAAGAAAAGTAAGGGTCCTAGGCTCATGGCCAAAGGAAATTTTCAGACCAGATRCGGCAATCCGATCCCTGGARTTCGACCCAGCGGAGTGGGCCTGGAAGYCAAATKCCACCAGCAAKTTCAAATMAAAARTCCCGATCCAGGACTACTCAGTTAAACTCGGGTACAGACTGTCTCTGAAGACYAAAAACCCAGAYCCAATCATMAAAAACAGATGGCGGAACCTCGTGGGKCAAGAAGCAGACAAAATCACACGRTTACATTGGGAAAAATTYAAACGCATCARACCAATYAAGATCAGAAGCTTGCAATGGCTGATTRYWTACGCAKCCCTGCYRGTGAATCAATGGCTACACATTAGACGGAAAACCACAGACCCAGACAGTTCAGAATTATGYRCAGTCTGYACTGAAGGCTCGGTAGAAGATATAGTCCACTGCCTAGTCCTCTGTAAAGAAGCAACCGAATACTGGGCGAGAGCGTCTTCACTCTGGGATTCCCTCTTTTCATCTCCCTTCCCCAAACAACCCATTCAACTGCTCCTCTTGACTAACATCCCTGATCAGGCTCGGAAAGCTGAAAGGACCTGGTTTGAACTCATCAGAAAGGTGACCCTATGGGTCATATGGAAGGAGAGACGCAGTCGAACAATTGAAGGACTCTCCAACCCACGGGAGAAAGTGTGGATAGAAACTAGAACAATGATTCAAGCCGAGATCCTGTGCAGATGGCGGAAGATCAAGCGAGCCTGGTCCGAAGACGAAGAACAGCGGAACAAGGAGAGGCAGAGATTCTACAGGAGCTGGCTGGTTGATGGCAAGATTGGAGAACTGCAACAGGACCTGGTATGCTGGAAAGAATGGCATAACTCCAATCCAGGAAGGGGTTCCCAACATCAGACGTCGCTGGAAGGCTTAAGCACTTCCTAGGCTGCAAGAGGTTAAACATAACCCAGGGGATACAGACGACGTGGAAAATGAGGACAAGTCTGACAACTCTGGAGCACCTACGGGGGTCGCCAAKGAGGATCCTATCTCAGAGATTCGGAAGCCTACTAGCACCTGCCAAGACCCAATTTTGATGATTCTGACGATAAGATTGCAGACTGAGGGYGTAGGCTTCAGTGTTAACTGTTGGCCTTCCAAAAGGGGGGCGAAGTGGCGTATGGGAAGGACCAGGTTGGGTAAGGCCAACAGGTGTGATCTTTCTAGGGTACATTGCTGTATCTGACAGTTCTGGATTCCGGATCTGAGAGGAAAGAGTGGGACAAGGCAAGCTGACAGTCAATCCTCCCGTGGTGGAGCAATCAATGCTGCTCAGGGGTCCTTCGGCCTGACGGAAGAAAGCGTGTGTGATTGTTAATGTTGTAATTTATTTTGACTTGCCGGTGGAATAGGAACCGGACTGACGCTCCCCGAATAGAAGGAGCCAGGTCCATAAGGCCCTGTTTTAAAAAAAAGAACACTCTTTGGCTATTAGAAAGTCTGGTTAAACCAGCACCTGGTGACTTTCGAACGTTGTCTAGGAGAGCAACACGGAAGGGAGGGAGGTGAAGAGATTGAGGAAGTAGATGGAGGTGGTTGTGGATTCGCCCCGACTCACTTGCATAATTGATGCCTCCTGCTCGCTCCTTTTGCCGCCTTTGTTCTTATTGACGAGTTGCTATTCTTCTGGTTCTGCTGTTATGGTGGCTGCTGTTGTTGTGGTCCTGTTGGTGTTGGTAGTGGTGGTGGTGGGGTTTGTGGTCGTGGTGGTGTTGGTGTTGGTGGTGGTGTTGGTGTTGGTGTTTCTTTTCCTGTCATCGCTCCTCTTCGTGCAACAGGTGGGGGGCTGTTGTTATTGATGTTCTGTCCGTTATTGCCTTTACTGCTGCAATGTTTACTGTTGTCATTGCTGTTTGCTGCAATGTTTACTGTTGTCATTGCTGCTGTTGTTGCTATTGCCGCCACTGTTGTTGTCGTTGGTCTATGGCTATTGCTGTTGTCGTTGCTGCTGCTGTTGCTACTGCCATCGTTATCGTTGTTGCTTTTGCTGTTGCTATTGTCATTGGCGCTGCTGTTGTCGTTGTTGCTATTTTTGTGCTGCTTGTTGCTATTGTCGTTGGCACTGCCGTTGTCGTCGTTATTTTTGCCCTGCTTGTTGCTATTTTCGCTCACGCTTCTGTTGTCGTTGTTATTCTTGCCCTGCTTGCTTCTCTCCTGCAGAGGTCTTCTACCAGTCTGCAGAACACCCAGCGTGCCCAAGACGCCCAGGAATAACCAGGGTGGAGATTAAGAGTAAGTCCCAGGCCCTGAGCTTTCACCTCACCTGATGACTTACCAGCCTGTTCTGGCCCAAGCTTCACCTCCAGGTGGTTAACCGTGATAATTTATGCCATGGTAGCGTGGACTACACTTATTTCATTCATCCTTTGATGTCCTGAGTTCATGTCAACGCTTGAGGTATCAAAGTTTTGTTTTTCGTTGCCCTTTTGGTCTTCACCAAGTTTCTTCTTTTGCTCATGATTGGTACGACGTGCCCTCTGGAATGATGATTCTTGGGTTGTTGACAAGCAGGTGGGGGGTTTGTCATTTCACCGCTCAGTGTGCGACCTGGCACGAAGACACCACGATCAGCGGTTCAACATGTTCTTGAGATCGATGCAAGCAAGTGGCCTCGTTGGCTCGGACCTAAAGATGAGAAGTATCAGAAGAAGCTGCGACTTTTGCTGTTGGGAAGGATTGCAGGTAAGCAATGGATGGATTATATGAGCCACTCCTCCCTTTGCTCTCTTTTTACCCCTCCCTTTCCCCTCTTTTCACCCCTCCTTTTCCTCTCTATTCAACCCCCCCCCCCCCCCCCCCCCCCCTCTTTCCGCTCTTTTCACCCCTCCCTTTCTTTCCAGGACTCACAACTCGCTAGCCATGTGATGCAAGCATGTGACGGCATTCAGTCAGGCAAGTTAATGGCATGGCTAAAGCCTGAAAGCCTCAGCATTTTATATGGCTCTTGGGCCCATGTGAGGCCAGGTTCATTGCCAGTGTGCAATGGTGCCAACATGAAACAAAGACTTAAAAGTACTCATTGGGGCAATCGAGTCGCTGTGGTTGTAGCACATATGGCACCAACACTGTGGAATGGTGCCAACATGAAACAAAGACTTAAAAGTACTTATGGGGGGCTTGGGAGGTGAGAAAAGTTTGAGATGTTTAATCACTTATTGGGGCAATCGAGTCGCTGTGGTTGTAGCGCATATGGCACCAACACTGTGGAATTGTGATGCCAAAGATTTAAAAGTACCAGGGCAGTTATCGCTGCCAGCCCTCTCTCCCCTGCTCCCCACAGACCACCTCTTGTCAGATCTGCTCCACTCTCTAATGCTCAGGACTCCTCGCTGCTCGCCATAGCACTACTAGCCAGCGCCAGTCCCCAGCAGCCTACCGTCTTCCCCCGAACACAGCGCACCCTCATTTTGGCTGTATATGGCCGGAAATATAGCTTGTATACGGTCATTTTTAGGGTGCGTTATGTTCAGGGGAAGACGGTAGTGGGCTACAAGTGCTGAATGAATTCCCAAGTCCTGGCTCGAGTCTCAAGGATTCACTGTATTATTCTCGTTCCGGAAATGGGACAGCTCGTTTTGTGTTCATCCACCTTGCCACATCACTAATGATGTTTTGATGCGTCACATGCAGAGGTAGGAAGTAGCCTGTGAGAAATTTTGTGGGAAATTTTGTGAGAAATTTTGTGAGAAATTTTGTGAGAAATTTTGTGAGAAATTTTGTGAGAAATTTTGTAAGAATTTTTTGTGGGAACTCCGGAACGTGAGATAGCCCATGAATCAGTTTGTAACATCAGATAGGACTCACAATTTTGCCCTCAATTTCTCCAATTGTTTGCTTATTTCATTGATTTGGAGTTTGAACCATTCCTTTTTTTTTCCTTTTTAATTTTTTTTTTCCTTTTTTAAGTTTTTTTCCTTTTCTTTTTCTTAGGGAAATATCCCCGGAAGATCTGCGGTCCGCGTTGGTAAAAGAACCGACAGGATGGAGGCCTTCTATTTGACGGCTGCGTCCCCCATCGGTGGGGAGCTACACCTGCTGGAAATCGGGTCCAGCGGAGTTCAAACCATTTCAGTTCAGTTGCGAACCCAGTCATTTTGATTTTTTGCATAACTGGGTCTGCATGCCAATGGATGGGTCACTTTTGCTGCAGGAATCAGGGAGTGGTTTTCTTTGAGGGACTTCAGTGTTGAGGACTCAGAAGAGAGAGGTGGCCCCAGCAGGGCAGATATATTTCCAATTGAGTATACTCCTGAGCTTGTGGGGAATGAAGGTGTGAGCGCCGTAAATGTAAATGGCACCATCCATAGCTTGGACGGCAAGGACGGCAGTGGTCAGGGAAAGCTTGATGAGACTCTGGCACAACCAGGCTTTCAGAATGAGTATGTTGCAGATGTGCCCTTCGAGCTGAGTACGCGCAAGCAATTGTCTCTGTCTGACAGTGATGACGAGGATCCTGACGACGAGGACTTCTTCGATGCCCAAGAAAGTGTCTCCGCTACATCCAGCCTTAGTCACATCCAGTCGTTCAAGAGAGTCCTTTCAAAGGTATGTTCAAAAATTTTATGCTCTGCTCAGTGTTCAGTCTGCAGCGAGGAAGGAAGGAACACAAATGACCGCCCTGCGCCTGCGCGATTCCGCTCTCCATTAGTAAAAATCAGTGTGATATGCTTTGTGGTATAGTGATGCAACACCTCTGATCATCACGTGGTCCCCGGGAGCACTACGGAATAGGGAAAACAAATGTCCCTTGGACAGGGATGTGCCGGAGTCCCGGGCATACTGGTGCTTGCGAGTTCCGGACATGTGTCCCAGTTCTGGGTCCCAGTTGGTCGTTCTCAGTTGCCAGCAACAGATGGTGGGGCTCTCAGGTCCCAGATCTCGTTTTGTCCCAAACACAATCAATGCACACTCATTTTGACTGTATGGGACCGAAAAGGCAGGGTGCGTACGCGCGTAGCGGCACGCGACCGGCTTTCCTACGCCCGCCCAGCTATCCCCTGCGCGTATACCCGCGCCTGGCCTCGTGTTCCCTAAGCGCGTACCCACGCGCGGCCAGCTTTTCTCTGCGCACCTGCCCGCACTTTTCTCTACGCGTGCACTTTTCTCTACGCGCGTGCCCGCGCGCGGACCTCAGAATTTTGCCCCAGTGGGCCCCTCGTGCGCGCCAGCCGCGGGCAATTTTGCCGCCCTCTCCTCCGCCTCGGCCTCAACCCCGCACCGGTCCCACTGCACCTGCCCCCACTTTCCTCTACGCGTGCACTTTTCTCTACGCGCGTGCCCGCGCGCGGACCTCAGAATTACCACCCCAGTGGGCCCCTCGTGCGCTCAACCCCGCACTCGAATTTTCATCTGCGGCCTGCCCCCCCGCCTCGGTTTTGTGTCCCAAGCGGTTTCCGTTGGGCCCGCGACCGAGCATGTCGCCAGACCCTTTGCTTGCTTTAGTATGTATAGAGATAGAGAAGGTGCACTGTGTTCGGCGGAAGACGGTAGCACCACTTGGCGGATCTCAGTTGCCAGCCCCCATCGTCACATGGTCCCAGCTCCAGGCACCTAAAATTCTGGCACCATATGCTACCGGCTTCCCCTAAATATCACGTACGGTGATTGTCGCCGCATCTAGACTGAAATTTGCCCTAAAGACAGCTATAGTGACTGTACGACGCATACGTTCTATTTGGGGGAAGAAGATGGTAGCGCTTATTCTGAGCTCTCCCAAAACTCAGTTCGCGTTCACGGCTCCCAACACCCAGCTCTCAACTGGCTGTTAGTTCCTTAGTTCCCGGCACCAGTTGGTGGTCCTCGGTGCCCAACTCAGAGCCAGATGGTGGATCTCAGTCCCCAGCTCCTTCATTCATGTGATCAGTGATCGGACATGCAGAACAGCCAAGGTCGAAAGATGCACAGCTGAAGATCAAAATCAAGCACAGTTGGAATAGAAGCACTCGTGATGCAATCCGGGGGCAGTGTAGGCAGATGCACATACTAAAACATGACGCAGGCAGGGCAGACATACAGACTAGGACATCCCAGCAAAATCAATCATGGATGAAGAGGAGAGGAAAGAAAAAGAAGAAGACAAACGGGGGAGCGAGAAGAACTCAAGATGTACCAATAAAATGACATCTCCTGTTCATCCAAAATAGAACACTGTTAACCCCCCCCCCCCCCCCCCCCCCCCCCCCCCCCCCCCCNCACACACACACACACACAGAGAGAGAGAGAGAGAGAGAGAGAGAGAGAGAGAGAGAGAGAGAGAGAGAGAGAGAGAGGGCACATGCATCTGTGCATTCTTCTTCTTCTTCCTGCTCCTCCTCCTCCACCTCTTCATCTTCCTTATCTGGTCTTTGATGTGCCATCATGTGCATAACATAAATGAGCGGACAGACATTAACCCGGCAGTCATGCTGCAGGAGAGAGGGAGAGTGCTATGGAGAGAGTAGGTCGAGCAGGCCAGACTAGGCTATGGAGTTAAGGGGGGGTGAGTAGGGGGTGAAACGTGGAGAAAGAAGTGGCTATGGAGGATCTTCATCATCACTACCTGGTTGATGCTGCATCACGAAGGCCCCTGGAGGGGACCAAGTGGACTTGGACTTCATCCGTGGAGAGTGGCAGTGGCCACGGGAGGGACATGCATAGTAGGCTGTTGCAGTCTCGTTGAATATCCGAGCATGGAAAGGATGTTCCGCCATAGCTACTGGCTCAGCAAGGTGTATTCGAGAGAAGAGAGGAAGCCTAAAATGGGAGTTCTTCACCAAGGCAGTAAGGGAGCTCTATCGGACATCGACGCTTGCTCATTCGTTCAGTGATTGTTGTTATATTTTCATAATAAAGAGGAGTTTGCGAGGGACGATGATGATGATGATGATGATGATGTAGAGAGGAGGAGGGGAGAATTTGAGTCAATCTTGCATTCCTCTTCTTCTTCTTCCTCTTCTTTTCTTCATCTCCCTTTGTCTTCTCCTTTTCCTCTCGAGTTTTTATGATGGCATTATCTTAAAGTTTAGCTTTGCGTCAATACTTGCGTAGGATGCTAGGATCATCATATCAGAAGGGGAATTGAACTTGTTGAAAGGGAAATTGAGAGTACCCAAGAGCCTGGCTCAGTGGCCACACCCTGTCTCTTATACACATCTAGATGTGTATAAGAGACAGGTGTGTGTGTGTGCGTGTGTGTGTGTGTGTGTGTTATCTATCTATGGAACTGGACGGTACTAACAAACAGTCATTAGACACACAGAAAGGCACGCAAAAACACACACACACACACACATACTTAGGCACAATACCACCCTTGGCATGGATATGGTACTATCTGGCCTGGGTGATGCTATGTGAGTTGGATGGTAGCATTGGATCGAGTGGCACGATTTGGGGCGGGTCATACTATGTGGACTGGATGGTACTAAGTTAATACTAACATACACATTCCCCTCCTCAAAAAAAAGAATACAGACACGACCATGGGAAAAAAAAAAACAAGAACATTGACCAACATCAGGCACAATTCGCCCTTTGCGACAGCGAGGCGATACTATGAGGGCTGAGCGGTACTCTGTGGCCTTGATGATACTATGCGGGTTGGGTTGTACCATGGAGGTGGGTCACACTGTGTGGGCCGGGTGGTGCTACGAGGGATGTGGGTTGGGCAGTACTATGGGGGGCGAGTCATCCTATGTGGACTGGGTGGTGCTATGTGGGCACTGGGCAGGGTGGTATTAGGTGGCCTAGGTGAGACTAAGTGGGTCGGGTGGCACTATGTGGGCTGGGTGTTATTATGTGGCCCAGGTGATACCATGTGAGTTGGGTGGGACTACATGGGGTGGGTCATATTATGTGGGCTGGATGGCACTATGTGCGCTGGCCGGTATAGTGTGGGGTAGGTGGGCGATGCTATGTGGGCTGGGTGGTACAAACGACCCCCTCCCCCTCCCCCAAGCAAAAAAGAGCCAAGCCCATGTGGCTGAATGGTACACCCATCAAATGTTGATATACACAACAAGATGTAAGAAAACAACTCTGAGATCACGTTTTTCCCTTTTGCGGTGGATTGAAGCTGGTGACCTGCTCGCTAACAGTTCCATGTCTTCTTTCCATCAAAATTGGCCTGCTATGTACTTTGTATTCGAACAAGCAACTACGAGCTGCGGAAAAAAGACCAAAACGAAATGAAGCGACATCGCCGACATGTTTGAATCAGTGAAACGGCAGCGGGAAGGGAAAAAAAACGAATGTGCACCTGGCCCATCCAAACCAAGGCATGAAAAAAAAAAAAAGGCCGACGACTCGCTGGCGCGGAACCACGACAACAGCTCCTCCCCCCCGAAAAAAAAGAGAAAAAAAGAAGTCCCACCGCAGGCCCACTGTCTTTCCCTACACAGGCTGCCAGAGTCTTGCGCAGGAGCATCGCGTGAGACCGGCTTTTTTTTTCCCCTTAAACTTCTTCAATGAAACGGTATTCACCAATTCGTGGTAGCTGAGGCAGATCCCAGGGCTTGATCCCTAGTTCCCCAACTTACCTGTGTATAATATCTATGTCAACTCGAAGAGTTGAACCTGCGACCTGTAGAACCGCCAGTGGTAGGTAGATTGTCGTAGGGCACAGGATAGACTGGAATCGAACTGTAGACCTGTAGGGTAGAAGTCTAGACAGTTCYGGAGTTGTAGCTGAAGACTGCCTGAAGAGTCAAGGTCGTAGCTGCTACTTACCTGAAAGGGCAAAGTCGTAGCTGCTACAGTACCGAAAGGCCAACTTAGAGAGTTCTAGAAGTGGCCTTTCGGAGTCAGTCCCTGTTAGGTGCAGGCAAGTGGTCAAGTGGTGCAGGCAAGTGGTCAAGTGGTGCAGGC